TGGAATCTGAGAAGTATAAACACCGGTAGAGGCTGTTGCTTGATTGACAATATCAATCAATAAGGGAGGAACTTGATGATATCCTTCTCTCCCAGTAAATTCAGATGTCAAATAACGATGTTATTTTGACGGAAATACGATGGTTTGAAAGTGTCCCAAAAACGTCGTTTTTCCGTCCAATGACCCTATACGGAAAAAACGACGTTTTCGTGTTTGCAGTGTTATGGTTTATCTTTGCTGGACTATATGTTCAGTGTCAACCACTGGGGTAGCATGCTGGATTTTACGGATAGTGTACATGATTTTCCCATCGCAAGCTTTATTGTATGTTCAGTGTCACCCAATGCTCTACCTCTCCCATGCTGGGTTGTATGACCAGTATCAACTACTAGTTTACCTCTCCCGTGCTGGGTTGTATGTCCAGTATCACCCACTAGTTTACCTCTCCCGTGCTGGGTTGTATGTTCAGTATCAACCACTAGTTTATCTCTCACATGCTGGGTTGTATGTCCAGTATCAACCACTAGTTTACCTCTCCCATGCTGGGTTGTATGCCCAGTATCTCCCACTAGTTTATCTCTCACATGCTGGGTTGCAAGTTCAGTATCAACCACTAGTTTATCTCTCCCATGCTGGGTTGTATGTCCAGTATCAACCACTAGTTTACCTCCCCCATGCTGGGTTGTATGTCCAGTATCTCCCACTAGTTTATCTCTCCCATGTTGGGTTGTCTGTTCAGTATCAACCATTGGTTTACCTCCCCCATGCTGGGTTGTATGTTCAGTATCACCCACTAGTTTACCTCTCCCGTGCTGGGTTGTATGTCCAGTATCTCACACTAGTTTACCTCTCCCGTGCTGGATTCTATGTTCAGTATCTACCACTAGTTTATCTCTCACATGCTTGGTTGTATATCCAGTATCAAGCACTAGTTTACCTCTCCCATGCTGGGTTGTATGTCCAGTATCTCCCACTAGTTTATCCCTCACATGCTGGGTTGTATGTCCAGTATCACCCACTAGTTTACCTCTCCCGTGCTGGGTTGTATGTTCAGTATCAACCACTAGTTTATCTCTCACATGCTGGGTTGTATGTCCAGTATCAACCACTAGTTTACCTCTCCCATGCTGGGTTGTATGCCCAGTATCTCCCACTAGTTTATCTCTCACATGCTGGGTTGCATGTTCAGTATCAACCACTAGTTTATCTCTCCCATGCTGGGTTGTATGTCCAGTATCAACCACTAGTTTACCTCCCCCATGCTGGGTTGTATGTCCAGTATCTCCCACTAGTTTATCTCTCCCATGTTGGGTTGTCTGTTCAGTATCAACCATTGGTTTACCTCCCCCATGCTGGGTTGTATGTTCAGTATCACCCATTAGTTTACCTCTCCCGTGCTGGGTTGTATGTCCAGTATCTCACACTAGTTTACCTCTCCCGTGCTGGATTCTATGTTCAGTATCTACCACTAGTTTATCTCTCACATGCTTGGTTGTATATCCAGTATCAAGCACTAGTTTACCTCTCCCATGCTGGGTTGTATGTCCAGTATCTCCCACTAGTTTATCTCTCACATGCTGGGTTGCATGTTCAGTATCAACCACTAGGTTATCTCTCCCATGTTGGGTTGTCTGTTCAGTATCAACTATTGGTTTACCTCCCCCATGCTGGGTTGTATGTCCAGTATCACCCACTAGTTTACCTTTCCCGTGCTGGGTTGTATGTCCAGTATCACTCACTAGTTTACCTCTCCCGTGCTGGGTTGTATGTTCAGTATCTCCCACTAGTTTACCTCTCCCGTGCTGGGTTGTATGTCCAGTATCACTCACTAGTTTACCTCTCCCGTGCTGGGTTGTATGTTTAGTATCACCCACTAGTTTACCTTTCCCGTGCTGGGTTGTATGTCCAGTATCACTCACTAGTTTAACTCTCCCGTGCTGGGTTGTATGTTCAGTATCAACCACTAGTTTATCTCTCCCATGCTGGGTTGCATGTTCAGTATCACCCACTAGTTTATCTCTCCCATGCTGGGTTGTATGTTCAGTATCAACCACTAGTTTACCTCTCCCGTGCTGGGTTGTATGTCCAGTATCAACAACTAGTTTATCTCTCCCATGCTGGGTTGTATGTCCAGTATCAACCACTAGTTTACCTCCCCTATGCTGGGTTGCATGTTCAGTATCTCCCACTAGTTTATCTCTCCCATGCTGGGTTATATGTCCAGTATCAACCACTAGTTTACCTCCCCCATGCTGGGTTGTATGTCCAGTATCTCCCAATAGTTTATCTCTCCGATGCTGGGTTGTATGTCCAGTATCTCCCACTAGTTTATCTCTCACATGCTGGGTTGCATGTTCAGTATCACCCACTAGTTTATCTCTCCCATGCTGGGTTGTATGTTCAGTATCACCCACTAGTTTACCTCTCCCGTGCTCGGTTGTATGTCCAGTATCAACAACTAGTTTATCTCTCCCATGCTGGGTTGTATGTCCAGTATCAACCACTAGTTTACCTCCCCTATGCTGGGTTGCATGTTCAGTATCTCCCACTAGTTTATCTCTCCCATGCTGGGTTGTATGTCCAGTATCAACCACTAGTTTACTTCCCCCATGCTGGGTTGTATGTCCAGTATCTCCCACTAGTTTATCTCTCACATGCTGGGTTGCATGTTCAGTATGAACCACTGGTTTCCCTCTCATATGCTGGGTTGTATGTTCAGTATCAACCACTAGTTTATCTCTCCCATGCTGGGTTGTATGTTCAGTATTAACCACTAGTTTATCTCTCCCATGCTGGGTTGTATGTTCAGTGTCAACCACCGATCTGTCTCTCCATGGTGCCTTATATATTCAAACGCAATGGCTGTAACTTAGTGAATGATTCTGCTTGTTTCAAGAATAGTGAACCGTGTCGAACCTGGTAAATTAAAACGCTATCTGATTTCCGGATATTATGGAAAAACGTGATTGAGCAAATTTTCACCAGCATTTAGTGAGGCAGTAATTGTTTTTGATTCTTTTTTCGTATTTGTGTGTATTTATTCACTGAGTTCACTGAGTTAAATTCAAATGTACTGTCAATGGTTACAATTATAAATTTCTGACATGACAAACATACATTATCTTATATCTTGGATGCTTTCATTGACCTTGACCTTGACGATTCAATATTATTCAGTACTAAAAAATGTTTATATGTGTTTGAGACAGATAGCGTGGCCTTAAAAGCTTGGTCGAGATTGCAGGAGGGTGTCAGGGGCCGTGCTTATAAAACCTCGGGGTCGTGTTTTATCTTTCACTTATTATCTTCATGATGTTTGCTTTGTACCTGGTATCTCTGAGTTGTATTTGAATCACGTGTGGGTCTGATAGACATGGAACGCTCATGGCTCGTGTCCGTAGAAACATAATATCTACAAACATATCGATTGTGTAAATCAATATCCTGTTTAAAATATAAGACACTCCTTAAGCTGCAAACATCGCGACCCTCGTTCGACAGCTGTCAACTGATTAAACAATCCCTAGCATAAAATATATCTGGTGTTTAAAGTGTGTCCCCTAGAGCGCTGTCATAAATCCCAGACATTACATTAGGTAGGAATCCAGTGTTGCCAAGAGTTATGGAGATTGCTTTGTCGACCCATGCTTAAAGCAACAATGCATCTGCTGTTTTCTTTACATAGCCTCCCTTTTCATTAGACCATCTGAATTGTCTGTATATATGAACTGATATGTTCTATGTGCTACTTCAGGTGACGTGATGAGTAAATGTTGAGGGGAAGGTTTCTCCAATAGCAATCACTGGACACGGTTTTATTTCAATGAACTATCATCTTTCTAAAATATTAGGTTTCACTGTAGAAGGTGAGGTGAAATTGGGTTTAACGTCGCGTCCATAATTATTGCACTTATATAGTGACGTGCATGCACGTGTGTGTGTTTGTGTGTGTGTGGCTGCTTGTTCTTGTCCGGACTGATGCGGATTTATGGTGCAAGCTCATTGAGATACCATGCCGCAGTTTAACATGAATAACCCACTCAGACACAGTATACTGAATCCGAGCCGACAAGTCCTTGTTTTAGCCCCTTAATGCCGAGCGCCAAACAGGGTAACAACAAGTACCATCTTTTAACGTGTTTTGGCATGACGCGGCCGGGGATCGTACCCCGGACCTTTCACTCCCCGGGCGGACGCTCTACAACTAGACCATGGAGGCTGTCTTTTTACTCTAGTAAAGAGTAGTGTAGAGTTGCCGTATTGAACAGATTTTGTTTGGAGGCATTCACCTTTAAGTTCAGGTTACCGAGAGACGGTAGATCTTACGTCGTTCTAAATCATTGGACATGTCAGTAAATTGTTCATTTGGCTGACATCGTCTCAAGACTTGTTTTATTTACGGTGTATGAGACGTCAGATTTCATGTTGAATTTTAAACCTGGTCAGGCATAAAACGCCGCTGTACCGCGAGCACAATAGCCTCTCACTGAAATGAGCTCTCTATATCTACCCTTAATTTAGCAGTCGTTTAACAAAAGATTCAGTTCATATTATTAATTTACTGGACTGAATAACAAAACGTGTTATAGTATGCACATCGTTATTAATTATTTGTTCCAAAATAGTTTTTCCGTCACATTCAATTGTAATCGAACTCCCTAACATACTTGTACAAACTTTTTTAGTCCTTCTAACGTTGTTTTAAAGAGACCTTTGTCAAGATTGCAAAATATCAGTTAGCAATTTTATCACTAACACGCATATTGTTCTTTTCTCTCATTACTCAATGTCCTTAACACATAGGTGGCTGTTTGATGACCCGGAACACACGTATCCACGACTGGCAGAGCAGGTAGCGTCCATACTTTGGATGCACAAACCAGTAGAACATGTTCACAATCTGACATAAACATAACGCACTTCGTACTTCTTAAGTGCTTCCTGGTACCTGGTGAGTCATGGTCCTAATGTAGTCCACTAGTTGCAACATGTTTCCCGCTGGTGTCGTAGTGAACAGAGCCGACACCGACAGGTGACATAGAAAGATAAAACAACGACTGTCGGCTTCATGTTGACCATACACAGAGAACGGTAGCTGTTGATGTAAGTTAACACAGTTTTAGAGCGAGCACACAACAGTGAGTAGATTTGTTCGTTTAATCCTATTGTGAATTGGTGAAGTTGTGATGGTGTCTCAGGAAGTATGCATGTTATAAACAGGTAATGTACTACAGGGGTTTCAAGGATCTGTGTCTCTGTCGTTCTTACATAAGTCGGGGCGGTCGGGTAGCCTAGTGGTTAAAGCGTTCGCTCGTCACCCCGAAGACCCGGGTTCGATTCCCGACATGGGTACAATGTGAGAAGCCCATTTCTGGTGTCTCCCGCCGTGATATTGCTGGAATATTGCTAAAAGCGGGGTAAAACCATACTCACTCACTCCTATATCAGTCTGTCTTATAATATTGTAACTGAGAAGTGCGTTTGTTCAAAGGGTCAGATTATTTGTCTTTGAAGCCAACAACTCTATACATGTCGTAAATAATTTTCTGCATGGCTTAATGTTCACTTTTTGGTTAAAGATTTACAGCAGTGGTTCATTTTACATTCCGCGGACCATATATGATGGTTAGTTGCAGATTTGATCACGGTCGTGATTTCCAAAATGTTAGGAGGCATACGGTTCTAGGAATATTTGTGTGGGAACACATTACCACCGGTGGTTGACGTGGCGTTAAACTGCCATGACTTGTCAAACATTCATGCACTCAACGAGGCTTACTGCGTTTAAATTTCCTCAATGGCGGGAGTCTGTCCCACTCCCCATGAAGCGCCTGGCCAAGTTCAGCCAACGTGGTCGGCGGCGTATGACGTTGACTCTCACGTCTCCCTATCATGTCCCAGACGTGTTCAATGCGGGAAAGGCCTGTGCTCATTGCTTGCCATGACATTCTACGGATGTTGTGCTCCTTGGGGTGAACATTGACGATTCGTGCACATTGAGCATGAGAGTTACCGTCCTAAAAGACAAAACGTTGACTCACACACCTTGCAAACGGGCGAACAAAAGGTGGTCAGTATGCGGTCCCGATAGTACTGTCCAGTGAGACCGCATCCGTGGTCTAATGGTAGAACGTCCGGCCGCAGCTCCAAGATCCCATCCCCGGCCGCGTCAATCCAAATTACAATAAAAGATGGTACTTGTTGTTACCCTGCCTTGCTCTCGGCATTCAGGGGCTAAAACAAGGACGGTCGGCTCGGACTGGTGGGGTATATCATGGTGAACTGGTACGCAAGGGATCTCATTGGCCGAGCACTATAAATTCGGCATTAATCCTGACTAGGTCAACGTCACACATACACACGAACGCACGCACGCACGCACGCACGCACGCAAACACACACACACACCAACACACACACATATATATATATATATATACACATGTATTCACGTCGCTATATAAGCGCTTTATTTTGACGTCGCCAGACACTCCTAGATGCTTATAAGTAAGCCTATAATTCTATATAAATACAGACACTCAGAGAGACAGACATGCACACACATAGGGGGTGTTCGCAGGACGTCGATGTTTTGGCAAGCATGATTCGGACGAAGTTACAATGCGGTATCGTTTGATGATTAATCCAGTTAAGTGTTGTTGTTTTAATGCATTGCCTATCATTGATGATAGTTTTTGACAGGAATTACGTGTCACACAAGGGGACAATTCTTTAACAGACTGAGTACTTTAACCAAATTTAAAAACAAGCAGTTAATTATTCACATATATATCTATTCCAATGTTACAATAACCAGCTTTGATAGTTTGAGGGATAGACGTTCGTGAAAATGTGAAGTGGTAGGTGGTGGTCGGTTCAACCACACCATCCTTCTTTACGATAAATCGTTTGACAGCTGAGACAAACTGTTTGACAAGTTCCTTGGCAATTTCATCTTTGGTCATGCCAGACAGGCAGTGAGCTCTGTCACGTATATTGCCCTTACATGAGGTTAGTGTCTTGTAACCTCTTGTAACATTTGTAACCTCTCTGCAGATAACTATGATACCTTTGGAGATTACAACTGTTACAATGTTGATTGGTTCTGTGTCTGAAGCTTCAATAACCAAGATATGTGGCCAATAGTCGGATCGAATGGACGTAGTAGTCAATGTGTTGTCCTTTTTAACCAGGGTGTTGGGAAGCCATGTAGAACAGAAAATGATTCAGCACATCTTTTACCCACCTACCATGGAGTATCAACAATGTCTTATACTGCAGCAGATCTCCAAGCTGTAAAGACCGAGGGAAAAGGAGTTGTATACTCCAGCAAATTAGACCGAGCTATCTAACGAAAAAAAAACAACTAGAGACGTACAGCATTTGGAGGTCAGCGTCACCAGATTGACCCATGAGCTGATTTTAACAGTATTCCAGTTAGATCATGTCGTGTCAGCTTAATGTGGGAGGAAAGCCCGAAGTGGTGCAGGTCTTAGAGGGTCACCAGTTCAGTGAAACCCACAAGCACAGGTATGGTGCTGGCAAACCTAGAAACATAATCGGGGCGAACCGGGATTCGAACCCACAATCATAGGTTTCTGGCGTGTCCAAGGGACGCAACGCTGCACAGCGAATCGTGACGCCTTAGACCACTGAGCCACCGGTGCCCCTACTGCCACCTGGACATAGGGCTCCAAGTTTTAAGTTTAGAAATTGATACATATATAAAAGACACTTAGAATTATTTACTTATAAAATACCAAAGGTTTGTGCAAAATGGTTTAAGCAAGGGGCATGACTTTACCAGCCATTTGATAGAATCAGGCCAATTCTACAGCCTGTCTTCGCAAAGTTAGGGTCGAATGTTGACTTTCGATTGTGGGTGGAGATCAGCGATGCAGAATCATACCATTTGTAGACTCAAAGCACACGAGACGACGACGACATGTTGGTGCTTTGCCATCTGATGAAGAAGTACCTGTGAATGTCATGGATTCTCGGCTGTGATGTCTCGTCATTTTGCTGATGGCGAACAATAAAATTTGATTTTCAGCTTCACACCACTGCAGATCGACACTATCGGCGGTGATTGTTGGTCAGAAAATTGGCGTCTGGATGGTCTCCCAGCAATCACGTAACGCCTAAGACGGCGACGTACAGTCTGTGCCGAAATTCGACAAAGGCCTGGGATGTTTCTCGCAGTGATTAGTGTGGGCTAGAACCGATTTCACAGATGAGTGGTCTGAATCCAAGTATCTTGACGGATGCTCATAAGGGAGCACTGTCTCTGACAGTGTTTGTTTGCTGCCACCGCTGCAAAAACGTCCAAATAGTGTTTCTGTGCACGTTCCATCGCCTAAAAACTTCACACCACGACGTTCCTGACTTGAGCATACCAATGGGTCTCACGCGGTCATCTGCAGATAGGCGATGCACCTCCAAACTTCAAATAATGATTAAAATTAAAAATGTTGCAGTTGTAAAGACAAGCAGAAACATTGCCTACCGAATCCCTGCGAAACGCATGCTTTTATACCCTGGTTTACATCATCAATTGAATTATTGGTACGTGAAAGACACGTTTAGCCATCAGATCATGCTTTCCTGCTGCGGTTGCGTTTGTACTACATGTTTTCATATTGACATTTCCAGAAATATTTTTTGTGTATGCAACTGGCTGGAAAGGGGTGTCACAGGAACTTTTGTTGCTGAGTATATTATGTCTGTAGTTGCTCTATGCATATCTGGTACAGAATGCAAAGCGAATTTAATTTATTTTGGTTTGTGTTTGGTTTAATAAAGTGTTGTAAATGACTCTTTTTTCAGGAGATTCCTTCAGTTCTGTCAAGTAAAGTTTTATAAAAGTGATTGACGTCTCGTGATGTTTTTTATGAATATAAAAAGTAATTTCAGTGTGACGGAGGTCACGTTTATCTAGTTAAGACGAATAAAAACAGGTCAACCTTGTACAACACGTGTGACGTACGGATTTAGTATCTCACCACTTTTATCTTCACCAGGTGGGTAAAACATCATCTTCTCAAACAGAGGCTGTGGTATCTGAGTATGCATCCGTGACGGACTCTGTGAAAGAAGTTGAGATTGTTGAGGGTGATGCCCACAAAACAAAGGAAAAAAATGCACCTGGAGATTCCTGCTCTCTTCACCTACTGTTGAGGTTCACATACAGTTTGAACCCCTGGAGATGGAGACCACTCCTTAACATGACTCTGTCCCACAAAGGATTATCTGTTGAGTCTTTAATTTAAAAAAAAGATGTACACAAATTGAGTCCAGTTGACGTGTCAAAGAATGATGTCAAACGTGTACATAACCAGATAAGAAAGAAGAACCAGATAACAGATAAGAACATGAAAGTCAGGACCTTGCGTGACCATCGCTGATTTTCATTACAGCCATACGTCCTCTGAACATGGAGTGAATGGGTCGGTTGGTGAACGACATTGGCATTTTGGACACCACTTTGAGAAACACATGATTGAGTTTAGCCGCAGTTGTTGGCCTTGGTCGCAAGTCTTTCAGTCTTCTTTAAACCTCGTACCATATGTGATCTATTGCGTTTATATAGTGCAGGCCACTTCATGGTTCAGATGCCAATTTATTGCAGGACGTCGCCTGGCAGTATGTGCACAGTGTGTACACGGGCGTTGTGCAGTGTGATTGTACCTACGTGGTTGATTGTTGTCAAGAAATAAATACGCCGGACTGTCTAGGGTCTTTTTATGACGATACTGGTCTCTAAATGTATGCAAATGACAACATCGTTTTCTTCTGTGCATGCCATGTCATGTTTATTTGACACACGATATGCCATGAATGCTATAAATTGACAAAATAGGTGTGAACAGAGCTGATCATCTCCATCCCGAGACAGAGATTGGAAACAGCAAGGATGTTGTTCCAAATGTCAACCAAGGATTAGCACACATAATCAAGCATTACCGGTTGCTCTTGGTCCAGTCGTAGACGTCCTCCCATATCATAGACATGTTCTGCTGCCTCGAAACGTTGGTTAAAACGCGTGCACCGATCGATTATGGTTATCTTGTTGACATGACGTCAGACGTGAACGAAGTGCCCGTGGCAAGTCATGAGAGTTGCCCTACTGTAGATGATGTCTCCCAAGAGATGATATTGTGTTTGATTAACATCAAAGTGTCTGGCAATTTCGTTTTGAGCCATTCCTGTTTGCAAGCATACCCAGGGTGCATTAACGTTGGTTTTCAATGAGCTGGGTCATTAAGTAAGCTTTATTTATGGTTAAACAAATGTTGTTTGTATGAGCACCTGATACCTAAACAATCATTGTGTGCGGTCCATATAAAAAACACGTGTGTGAGTATCATACATCCAACAAACATGCAAAAATTCAAGTTGTGCATGCACCATGAACGAATGTTCATTCAATATTGACATCATTTTCAATGCTGTATACATTTATACAGGAATTAAGGCCCATGATCAGCAATGTCGGACAGGGAAATCCTGCAACGTCATCATGGATTGCTGAAGGAGGAACTGGAAGTGACACTGGTTCTTGACAAACTGTACGAATGCAGTATATTCAGCATTGAGGACAAAGGTGAATGCAAGGCCAAGTTGGGCCGATCTGCACAGAGCGATGAACTGCTCACCATCCTCACAAGGAAAGGAAAAAGGGGATATAATATCTTCATGCAGATACTGAGCGAGGTTCAACCATACCTGAAAGAAGAACTTCAGTGGAGAGAATCAAGTCGTCAAGCTAACAGCAGTGCAACAGGCTCAATGGTTCTCCAACTAAAGGAACAATTATCCAATTTACAGATGGTATGTCTTAATGATATAGAATCAACCATTTAGTAAACTACGAAGGTTACTAAACTAAATGTGAAGAGAAACTGTGCCTTTATCTCAACCACGAAAACAAATACACAGCTGTAGACAAAAATGAAACCTCAACAATATAATGACGGTCTGTAAATACTTGAGTTGACACCAACAGTTGAAAATATGAGCAACTGGCTGATGACACATAATCAGAATGTCAAAGATCCTGATTCGATTTAGTTAATCCTTCTCTGGGAACGTGGGGGTGCTGCCGAACTGTTAATACCTTGATTATCTTTTTTTGTAGGTAAAACAAAAGGAAATTGACGAATTGAAAAAAAAGTTAATCAAACTTGAACACTCTAACATCAAACTAAAGGACAGAGTTCGACAAATTGAATGGGTAGGCAAAGGTTTCACACTATTATTGAAGCTAGTCATTGAGTTATTATTCCTTAACGTCGGATCTGCAATCTGGCACCTAGGCGCATTCAAGTTCATCAGGTAAGCCGAGTTTGGACTATTGCAGTCATCATCAGCATAAAAAAACATAGTTTTCAGTAACTGATATCGCGTGTAATGGTTTTCACGGTAAGCATCATTTCATGTATATTGGTTATCTGTGTCTTTTGAAAGCGCACTTATCGAAAAAAAAGGCAGAGCTTTTTTATACCCGCCTGTGTTCTTGCACGATGTTTTGTTTTGTTTTACTTCTCATGTACAGAAGGAAGGTGGGGCAAGTGGTGGAAGGGAAACAATTGAAAACTTATCCATTTTACAGATGGTATGTCTCAATGATATAGAATCAACCATTTAGTAAACTACGAAGGTTACTAAACTACGTGTAAAGAGATACTTTGTCTTTATCTCAACCACAAAAAAACACATACACAGCTTTAGACAAAAATGAAACCTCAACAATATAATGACGATCTGTAAATACTTGAGTTGACACCAACAGTTGAAAATATGAGCAACTGGCTGATGACACATAATCAGAATGTCAAAGATCCTGATTCGATTTAGTTAATCCTTCTCTGGGAACGTGGCGGTGCTGCCGAACTGTTAATACCTTGATTATCTTTTTTGTAGGTACAACAAAAGGAAATTGACGAATTGAAAGAAAGGTTACTCAAACGTGAACAGTCTAAAATCAAACGAAAGGACAGAGTTCGACAAATTGAAAGGGTAGGCAAAGGTTTCACACTATTATTAAAGCCAGTCATTGAGTTATTATTCCTTTACGTCGGATCTGCAATCAGGAGAGCCGAGTCTGGACTATTGCAGTCATCATCAGCATAAAAAACCATACTAGTTTTCAGTCACTGATATCTTGTGTGATGGTTTTCAAGTGAAGCATCATGTCATGTATATTGGTTATCTGTGTCTTTTGAAAGCTCACTTATCCAAACAAAGGAAGAGCTTTTTTTATACCCGCCTGTGTTCTTGCATAATGTTTTCTGTTATGTTTTAGTTTCATGTACAGGAGGAAGGTGGAGCAACTGGTGGAAGTGAAACACATTCAGATACAGGTGTGTACGTTCTTTCTGGTACGTTGAGAGATTATGTTCATATAAACGACACACAATCAAAGTCATGTTAGTCTGTGATTTTACCACCCCTCAACCCCATTATAAAAAAATAAAGAAATAAAAATAAAATATCCTGTTTTGCAACAGAAACTGATAAAGGTATCTATTCTCTATACAAAATATTCATTGCTACATCTGTATCAATATGAAGAAACTATTTCTTACCAACTTTCCTCACAGTCGCTCTATTTTATGAATTCTTTTACCTTTGTCAGGTTTTTCCGATGCTGTCACCTCACATTTTCTAAAATCGGCAACAACGAACAACACTTTCGTCCTCCTGTGTAAGTATTTGTGTCTTGCCATTGACATTATCTTTGTTAATGATATCAGTCACTGCATAGTCTGGTACAAATACATATCTTTTTCATGTCGTCAATCTAGGTTTAAGAACAAAACTGTGGTATATTGGTTATCATACTGCAATTGACGGAATTTAATGTATTATTATTTATGTTAAACCTTTTCAAGTCACGATACAATTGAAATACTGCCGATGTGACTTGATCATCCCCCCCCCCCCCCCCCCCCCCCCCCGATATTATTGGAATACTGCCAAAACGGCGTAAAACCATACTCACTCATTCACTATTTACAACTGGTCAAGAAAAAGTTTTTTCTTTTTTCAAGTGATGAAGCACCACATATCAAACTAGTATTGTTCCTATTTTGTCTTTTTGAACTTAGTTCAAACTAATATTTACTGTTAATTCAAGAATAGTTAGAGCTGTTATGTGACATGTTCGATCGTGATTCAACAACTACAAGTCCATTTAGTCATTGAAAGTTTGCCTAAATTGATTTCCTAAAGTGATGTAGGTATGGTTGATATTCGATCCTTCATATACAGAGAAGGTGTACAGGTGTAGATGCTGTCATGTATCAAAAACACTGTTAATCAGTGACATCCCTAAATACATCCGAATAATAATATTGGGTAACTTGTACACAAGCTTCATGACTCCTTAGTTAACCGATACAGGTGCTTTTTTTAATATATAGTTCATGACGTTCAAGTAACAATAAGTACAATTCGTCTCGTGTGATGTCGGTGCAATTATTTGCAGCTCATACATTTTGGGAACACTTTCCTGGACAATACTTCTGAATTTTGTTGCGACACAATTGAAACGGTATCTCAATCATATACATGAGCAAAATGAATCGAAATCGTTCATCAAAGTATCAACGATTATGGAACACTAAATAACGTAACGACCAAAGCTATTGACCTGTGGGACATCCTTATCGTGGTTATGATTAAAGTATTTGATCAGCCAAGGTTGAACAAACACAAAATTAGAATTGTCTGTAAAATCTGATATAACATGAAGCAAACGGTTCCGAAAATATACTGAACCAAATTAAAAACTTAACAATCCTAAAATTTTAACATTTTGACCAGTTATCATTGTGGGCCGTTATTGTGTATTTAAACAGTAATGGCCACGTATTGTCTTCAGATAACACCCGTTTTTGTGCAGGTGAATCGATCAAAATCATGTGCACAGCACTATAGTGGCAAAAGTGTTTTTTTACGTGCAATTGGTCACGTGGCCATAATACCGCATCTGTGCTCAGCCATACTTGTTAGCAGTCATTAACAAAAACAGAAAAACACACAAATACAAAGGTCTTTACGGCCATTTGTCATGCTAAGCCTTTCAAATGTGCAACGTGAACGTGCCATCGGCATGTTGCAGAAGGGAACGTCCGTAGCTGAAGTCGCAAGGACGATGGGTTGTAGTCGACGGACTGTTTATGATTTACAGCAAACGGGTACCAACGCTGATCGCCCTCGGCCAGGTCGACCACGTGTGACGTCACATGCAGAGGATCGTCAGATTGTCTTACGTCGCCTCCGTAACTGATTTTTGACGGCTACATCAACAAGAAATAAACTGTTTAGGGGTAGACTGAGTTCGCAAACTGTTCAAAACCGTCTGAGAACTGCTCACCTTCAAGCACGACGGCCATACTGCGGGCCGATTCTGACTCAATTACACAGACGTCAACGTCAATTGTGGGCACAGCGACACTTACGATGGACTGAGAGGAATTGGACTCAAGTCGTCTTCAGTGATGAATCCCGAATTAATCTTCGATTTGCTGATGGTAGGGCGAGGGTGTGGAGGCGCCGTCATGAACGTTACGCCCAGTGTCGTGTACAAGGAGTTGACAGATTTCGAGGCGGAAGTGTCATGGTGTGGGGTGCTTTCTGTGGCAATGCACGTTCCAGGCTTCTTGTCATCCGTGGCAACCTCAACGCTGCTGCTTACCGAGACCAGGTACTGGCACCAGAACTTCTGCCTTTTATGGCAGCACATGGACCCGGTTTGATCTTCCAACACGACAATGCCAGACCCCACACAACAATTTGCACCATCTAACTCTTCGCACCATTTTGCAGCAACAATGGCGTCGTCTTCCCAATCATGTGTTCACAAGCATCACAAGGTCCATGCGGAGGCGTTGTGTGGCAGTCGTCAATGCACATGGTGGCCATACACGCTACTGCACTTGTGTTCCATCAGATTCTCGTGCTTGGGACTTTGGAAACTGTTGATGTTATTACCGAATATCGCAGGTCCTTGAACAAATTATGGTTACCACCGTTAATTAAAATCCTTCTTTGGACATTAATGATTAAAAATTACCTTCTCTGATACATTTGTCCGTTGTATATCATATATGGGATTACTTTTAAAAATGTGAAGTTTATAATTTGACTCAGTATATAATAATAAAGGTCTTTGAAAATGTCAACCGTACATGTGGTATCAAATGCATTTTCTGAAATGAAAGAGATATATACAACAAGATGCTTGTTTACAAATGCATTTTTGTGCAAAATATTCGAAACATATATCCATAGTACTTCGAGTTTTGTAGAACCTACAATTGATGTTGTTAATAAGATTCATGGTTTCCAAGAACCAAACTGATGAATTATGTACAATATGCACTATTGTTTTACATACACAGTCAGAATACGATGCCGTAATTAGATGGATCTGTATTATCCTTGCCAGGCTTAGGTACAGGCGCGTCAAAGCGACTTGAAGAAGAGAAACTCCCAGTCAAACTTGAGCAAATATTTCTAAATTCTATTTCCAAACACTCGGGTAGTGCTGTCAGTAGTATCAGCTTCTAATGCAGTAGAATGAACTTTCCCAAAAACTGCTTTCAGCTCATTTAGCGAATTACTGCTTGACTGTGTTGCTTTTGTCCGTTCCAAGGCATTATGTCCAAATCTGCTGTACATATATTTTATTGAAAGAATATAATTATTGACTGATAATTAGTAGCCCTAACCGTGCCTCTATTGAGTTTAAAGCATGGGGCCTACGCAGTTTCAGCGATCTGGCCAGCGCTTTGATTTTCCGCTTCCGCGCGCGTCATACTTTTTATCGCTTTATGGAGCATCTCTGTCTTCTCATCCGTTGGATTACCGTGTCCACAACTTATTACGTTAAATACGACCAAGTGCAGCAATTTATGCAGTGCTTTATGGTTCCCAAACGGAATGTTGGTCATAAAGAGCTTAGTTACAGATAGTAAGTCTTATTTTGGTTATTTACAATGTCAAGATTAAAGGTCGTTTTACACACTCTCGTTGTGTGCAATGTTTTTTTGTGTATGGTTAATAGAAATAGTGACACCTTTAGTTTTGCTCTTGATTGATGCTTGAGATGCAGCTGACAGTTCCCTTACGTATGTCTGCTAAGCATCACAAGATAGGTTGTATTGTAGATATTAGATAGCATCTCAGTGAGTACATGCAGTAAAGTTCATAAGTGTGTCAGTCATGAAAAAAATTACATTAACAACGTAATAAAGTCAACATATATAGCTAACACTCTGACTCACAATCATCTCCTTGTCTCAAAATGGCAAGCGTGGCCATGGCAATGACCACGGTGGATGTGAGGAATGTCACGTGGTCTTGACGGTGACACTGAACTATCATATCCCTTCCACAAGACCAAGGAACGTCCATTCCAATTTGGAATGAACGTTGGGTTGCTTTGGAAAGATCACGCTCATTCCAACATTTCCAAAGCTTGGAAGCATCGATCTTTACAGAAAATCCAAAATTGGATTGGCAACATTTCCAAACATATTTCCAACGCAGGAAATGTTTGGAATGGGTTGGAATGGTTTGGAATTGTTTGGAATTGTTTGGAAGTATGTTTAGAATTAACAAGTTAAAATATGTTTTATTAGTAATTTGAACAATAAAACGACTTTAAATTATCTATTGAGTTTAAACTATACATAATAAATAATAAACTTATCTCAAACATTCACTACTTGTCTGTCTAGCGAGGGGCTTTTACAGTCGTAAAACTCGTCTGCTCCAACTGCCTTCACAAAAACATTCCAGCCCTTAATTACCGAGGCAGCTGTGACGTGGTAGCATTACATTCGCTACGTTTGCAGCATATAAGATGTGTAATCTGTGGAGTAACTAAAGTAATAATACGGCTGAAATCTTACTTGCATGGTTGTTTTAATAGAAAACTTACGTCTCAAAAACACAATTGTTCTTATATGATGTTTTTAGGTTTGGTTTATAAATACTAGAGAAGATTTTTTATACATATAAATTGTCAAAATACAATTGTCAAACCATTTATTGCCATGTACGTACATGTACACAGGAAGTCGGCGCTGTCCGAGGTAAATAAATATCGTGGTTTTATGACGGGAGATCAGACAAACCCTGAACCAGGGGCATGCGACGTAATTACACCTAAAGGTGGCAGAACCAGGGTATTGTCTCTTGAACTGGCTAATTGACCGTACATATAATTGGTAACTATATTGGTTTTGACACCCGTGTTTCATGTGCATCCCGGCTCATAAGCAGAATACAGACAAATGAGGCCCCGTGATCAGCGGAGCGTGAACAACATGGATGCCGCCTTTCGGCCGTACCCAACAGTCAAGCTGCGATCTCGGTAATGCTCGCCCGATTGAATCCAATTCCAAGCGGAGACAAGATAACTTCCCTTATCCAAACATGATCGTTGCTCAGAAATGTTCAAATCTATCTTCAGTAAATCTTGAAATTAATGCGAGCATGACATTTATGCGAAAAATGCGATCGTCAGTCCCTCTGATTATTTTAATATGTTTCATTTCATCATGATAAAAAAGTTAGTCACTTATAAGGTTACCACATTGAAAATGGAAATGATCATTAACAAAAACAACAAAATGTATTCTCTCATCACTCAGCCTAACAGCGATATAACTGCAAATAAAACAATCAAGTGCG